TCCGGGTATCCCACACGGATGCAGGGTTCCAAGGCTTTGGGCTGTCCTCAACTGCTTTCCCAGGCCACAAGCAGGGAGCTGGATGGGAAATGAAGCTGCTGGGATTAGAACCGGTGCCCATATGGAATCCTGGCAAGTTCAAGGAGAGGACTTTAACTGGTCAGCCACCATGCCAGGCCCTAGTATTCTTTTTTTAAGATTTATTTTTATTATTATTATATATATATAATATATTATATATAGAGAGAGGAGGAAAGACAGAGAAAGATCTGTCCAACGGTTCACTTCCCAAGTGACCCACAATGGCCAGAGTTAAGCCAATCTGAAGCCAGGAAGACCAAAGCCTCTTCTGGGTCTCCCAAACAGGTGCAGGGTCCCCAAATTTGGGGCCGTCCTCTACTGCTTTCCCAGCGCACAAACAGGGAGGTAGGTGGGAATTGGGGTGGTCGCGATTAGAACCAAAGCCCATATGGGATGCCAGTGCATGCAAGACAGACTTTAGCTGCTAGGCTGCATCAGGTCCAAGATTTATTTATTTTTCACTGGAAAGGCAGATTTACAGAGAGAAGGAAATGAGAGGAAGATCCTCTTTATCCACTGGTCTGCAATGAACAAAGCTAAAGCTGATCTGGAGCCATGAGCCAGGATTTCTCCCCAGGCCTTCCCATGCGGGTGCAGGTCCCAAGGTTATGGCCATCCTCCACTGCTTTCCCAGGCCACAATCAGGAATCTGGAAGGGTGTAAAGCAGCTGGGCCATGAACAGGTGCTCACATGTGGTTCTAGCACATGCACGGCGAGGATCTTACTGCTAGGCTATCATGCTGGTCCTAGTTAATATTATTCTTAAAATAGTATTGCACCAAGCCTAATTGTTTCTTACATAAATTTCGGGATCAGTGCCCTGGACACAAATTCTGCCTCACTTTTCTACTCTGATAGCTTCAGCACATTATTTAATGATCTCTTAAGTTCGAGTTCCCTTATGAGAAGAAGGAATGATAACACCTGTTTGTAGAGAGTTTCAAAACCATATGGGTCAGTGAAAGTATTTAGCACAACATTTGAAATATAACAATGACAAAGAAAAGACTAGATATAATTTATTTTTAGATAAACAAGCTGTCCTCTTTTATTTTACCCATATTTAAAACAAAATTGGGTTTTAGGTTTTTTTGTTGTTGTTTTGTTTTGTTTTGTTTTCATTTGAAAGGTGGAGTTACAGAGATAGAGAGAATCTTCCATGTGCTGGTTCATTCCCCAGATGGCCATGATGTCGACAGTCGGAGCTGTACCAGTCTGAATCCAGGAGCTAAGTGCTTCTTCTGGGTCTCCCAAGTGGATGTAGTGGACCTACGACTTGGGCCCTTCTCTGCTGCCTTCTTGCAGAGAGCTGCATGGGAAGTGAAGCAACTGGGACTCAAACCAGTGCCCGTATGGGATGCTGGCATGGCAGGCAGCGCTTTTATGCCACTGCTTGGCCCCCTGTGTTACATTGGCAGCAAATTTCATATTGGAAGCAAACTTTAAAACTTTCTCCCAAGGGCACTTTAACATACAATGTTAAATAAAGAGTGTCTACCATAGCACAATACAGTGTCTACTGTAGTACAATACAGTTTCATAGGGAACATTAAGATTTCATGATTCAGCTGGATTTTGCCAAATAAATTGTGTAAAGTGTAATGGTCCCTGCTCTCAAATAATTGTCTTTTGAAAAGAGAAACTAACGACAGAAAGTTAAGGAATAAACTACGTGGCAAAGTGTGACAGTTAACTGGGCTGACACATAAAGAGAAAAGTTTCTAAATAAACAGCATAAAATTTCCTCATCTTCTTGGACTGCAGCCTGCAGGATAGAGCACGCGCCTTCCCGAGGTACCTGCCTGGCCGTGTCTGTTAAGTTCATTTAAGAGCGAAGGAGAGGAAGTGAATGAAATGAGTTTTAGCTTCTGACATTTAGAGCTTCAAGGAACAGTTGCCACTGAAGTTAGTTCTCTAAAGCATTTTGAGTGCTGTCATAGTATAGATGGAAGCAGGTAACCCTTATTTTTAGATGTGAATAGCACGATACCAATGGAGGGTATCCAGGTTCCATTTAACACCTTCAAGACCTGCTAAACTCCCAAATCAGTACCACTTTGCTTTGTTACTTGGAACAACAGCCATGTATATATGTTTATATATATATAATTTCTGGTTATCAGTAGATCATATATTGTCCCAATTCCAGAATAAACATTTGAAATTATCACAATTTGTAAAACTGACCAATAAGTTTTGATGTTTCAAACTACTGACATATTCCCTGTATATTCTAGATTGTTTGTTTTTATTATGATGCTGTCTTTTCTCTGACGCTGTATTTCTACATCTCTTACTGAAATTTTAATCAGTATTGCAGTTTTTTATCTGCACACTCAGAATATCATGCAGAGGAAAAGCTAATACTTTGTGTGTAGGCTTGTTGATATACCTGTATCATGTCACTTTCCCCTCTTAAGTTTTACCTTTCAATGACATTCAGTTGAATCCCTGAGTTTAAAATCATTCCTTTCTTTTATTTTGAATTTTGGATTATGTGGTACAATTTCATATAGAGTGGGATTCCTCCCCAAAACTCCCATTCCCAAAATCATTCCTTTCTTATTCATCCTCTAATGCAGTTGTCAAATTCTTTGTGTTTTTATTTCCCCCTTCCCCTAATTCCATTTTCATTCCTTCTAGCTCATGTTGCTTCAGACCTGCTTAATATTCCAGCAGCTTGTCATCCTTCCACTGTTAAACTAATTCTATAGGTTCAGCTAATACAAATCGAGAATCTGGTATGTATTTAGTGTTAGGTGATGGAACTACATACCAGTCTGAACAGAGAGTTTGGCTGCTAATAGAATAGGCAATATGACTCCATAAAGTAGAACTTAAAGTAAGGGAAAGACAGTTTCTCTGTAGAAGTTGCATCCTAGCATTAGCCCCATTGGAAAGGGTAGAGGCATTTCCCTCTAAAACCGTGAAAGTTGCCCCTTTGGAGGGGACGAATAAGGATTTTATAGAGCTTCAAGTGCTATGTGTGACAAAGCTGCTATGTTACGAGCTTGGTAGGCAAACTCTGCTTGCCCTTAAAAGATCCCCTCAGAAGCAACAAAGAAGTGAGACTCAATGAACAGATAGTGTATTATAATGAGGAAACAACCGTGATAAGAACGAGAGTCAGTGAAGTAGTATTTATCAGGTACTGAGGAACCAGAATAACACCTAGCCAAAACTATGCTGAACTGACAGTCTGTGTACCTGTGGGAGTCAGTGTTACAAAGCTAGGATGAAGAAGATGGGGCCTCAGGGACCAGGCCTGGCCAGGAGAAGCTGATTGTCTTGTCTGATTGAACCAGTAGTTGACAAAGCACAAGAATCTGTTTCTAAAATACAGACCTGACATTTTCTAATCCAGAGGAGTGGTATATAAATAATAATATCAATTTATTTTCTTTTACAACGACACATCGACTAGGATTATGCTTTTGACCTAATACATTCTTTCCCTTTAGAGAGAAATATGGCAACCAAGTGATAAGAAAATCACTTGGAGACTATGAAATTAGAACATGGTCAGTATGCAGAGGTACCTCTCCCTGGTTAAATACATTATGCAAGTGTTTACCATTATTTCCAGGATTAATCAGTTTATATTCAAGAAGTTAGTCTTCATCTAGGAGGCAATGGGAAGTCACCAAGGAATTTTATTCCGAGATGGGGTGTATTCACATCTGTGTTCTTGAAAAATGACATGAGATAGTGTAAAAATTAGATTGAGGGGAATAGAAGCTGAACATTTAATAAAATCAAATTCTAGTATTCTGCTGTTGCAGTGGTCCACATTGCACTTGACGAGCAGTGATGGGTAAATAGGGGTAAGAAGGATGGACCTGAACCTGTAGGGATTGATTAGATTCACCCTCTTCTTGCTCCGATTCCCACCAAGGAGCATGAGCTGCTTTTCCATATCAAAAGTTTTCTTTATTTTCTACCATAATGTTCCTTAAAACAGAGTAACATTACCTAGAATAGACAGTATAGAGAACTGTGTTTTTGACCAGCTAAGTTTGAAAAATAATGCTACTTTAGGACTGTGATTTTCATATTATCTCAGAAATACGTATTTGAGTAAATTTACAAAATTTCTTTTTTTAAAGATTTATTTTTATTATTTTTTCATTGGAAAGGCAGATATACAGAGAGGAGAGACAGAGAGGAAGATCTTCCGTCCGATGATTCACTCCCCAAGTGAGCGCAACGGGCCGATACTATGCCGATCTGAAGCCAGGAGCCTCTTCCAGGTCTCCCACGTGGGTGCAGGTTCCCAAAGCTTTGGGCCATCCTCGACTGCTTTCCCAGGCCACAGGCAGGGAGCTGGAAGGGAAGCGGGGCTGCCGGGATTAGAACCGGCGCCCATATGGGATCCCGGGCGTGCAAGGCGAGGACCTTTAACCACTTGCGCCACCGCGTCAGGCCCGATTTACAAAATTTCAAACAGCAAAGTTTGCTATAGAATGAATGGGACAAGTAATATCCTTGTAGTTCTTAAAAATACAAAGCAAAGGAACAATATTTTTTCTGCTTAGGAAAAACAGGTTCACAGTTTCATGCAAAAGAAAATAGCTTATGTTGTGTTTGAATGTCTTATTTTAATTTAAACAACCCAGTAGAATTCTCCTGTAAAAAATGAGAATTTCTCCTGTGCTCTCCAAGCACTGCTTTGTATTCAAGTTGCGTGAATGCCAAGATGTATACACTGAAACAGGTCCACATTTCAGGCCACTAATGAGTTGATGTTGTTCTCGCTGCCTTTGAAAAACTGTTATATTAGTTTCCTCTTTAAGGAAAATTATTTTGGCTATGTACCAGGCAGATGTCAAAGCAAAAATTTGGTTTCGGAAGGTAAATCCAGGTTTCTTAATTGTTTGAATTTCCTTAAATTCAACCTTTTTACATTTCTGTTCCTTAGGTCTGCCAAAATGTCTGAAAGATCAGATCTCCTTCACTTCAAGTTTGAAAATTATGGAGATTCAATGTTACAAAAAATGAACAAATTAAGAGAAGAGAATAAATTTTGTGATGTTACAGTTCTCATAGATGATGTTGAGGTACAGGGGCATAAAATTGTCTTTGCTGCAGGTTCCCCCTTCTTAAGAGACCAGTTTTTACTGAATGATTCCAGAGAGGTGAAAATCTCCATATTGCAGAGTTCTGAAGTGGGGAGACAATTGCTCTTATCCTGTTATAGTGGTGTGCTGGAATTCCCTGAGATGGAACTGGTCAATTACTTGACTGCTGCAAGTTTTCTTCAGATGAGCCACATTGTAGAGCGCTGTACACAGGCCCTGTGGAAGTTTATAAAGCCAAAACAACCAATGGATAGTAAAGAGGGATGCGAACAGCAGAGTGCTTCTCCCCAGTCCAAAGAACAGCAGGGAGATGCCCAAGGCTCCCCAAAGCAGGACTCACCTTGTATGCATCCATCTGAAGACAGTATGGATATGGAGGACAGTGATATTCAGATCGTTAAGGTAGAATCTATTGGGGATGTGTCAGAGGTTAGAAATAAAAAAGATCAGAACCAATTTATCTCTTCTGAACCCACTGCTTTACATTCATCTGAGCCCCAGCACTCCCTGATAAATTCAACTGTGGAAAACAGAGTCAGTGAAATAGAACAAAACCATCTCCACAATTATGCCCTCTCTTACACAGGCAGTGATAACATCATCATGGCCTCAAAAGATGTCTTTGGGCCTAATATTCGCGGCGTAGACAAAGGCCTACAGTGGCATCACCAGTGCCCAAAGTGTACCAGGGTGTTCCGTCACCTGGAGAACTACGCCAACCATTTAAAAATGCACAAACTCTTTATGTGTCTACTCTGCGGCAAGACTTTTACTCAGAAAGGCAACCTTCATCGACACATGCGTGTGCATGCCGGAATTAAACCTTTCCAGTGTAAAATCTGTGGGAAAACCTTTTCTCAAAAGTGTTCCTTACAGGATCATCTGAACCTGCACAGTGGAGATAAGCCCCATAAGTGTAACTATTGTGACATGGTTTTTGCACATAAGCCAGTTTTGAGGAAACACCTTAAACAGCTGCATGGCAAAAACAGCTTTGATAATGCCAATGAGAGAAATGTGCAAGACCTCACAGTGGATTATGATTCTTTTGCATGTCCAACAGTCACAGACTCTAAAGGGTGTCAGCCACAACCTGATGCAACGCAGGTCCTGGATGCAGGCAAACTGGCCCAAGCTGTGCTGAACTTAAGGAGTGATAGTACTTGTGTGAATTGAGTCGGGGCTTCATGCTCCCTCACTAGAACTGACTGACCTTGTGGCAATAGTCTGAGTCCTTGTAGGAGTGGTTGTGCTAGTTGACTTCGCCAAGGCCTCCATACAGGTGGGAGGGAGAAGGCAGTGCACTAACAGACCCTGCAACTCCCCCACCTGGAGTGGTTTTGCCTTCCTTTTGTCTTCTCCTATTTTCTGTTTTTGAATTATTTATCCTGTGATGTCTGTTTTCCTTTCCTTAGGAATAATTCCATTTGTCTACCTAATGTCGGCTTATGTCTTAGACTGACACTATTTTAGGCCTTTCATCAGGCACATTCCGAAGGTACCAACAAGTTAATATGCCTAACTGTCTTCAGTAGATGCTATTACTAAAAGAAGTGAATAGTCATTTTGGTGGGGGAAGGGGCAGAAAATAGACTAAGATATGATATTGCTGTTAACCTAAAATGTGATAGAACTATCTGTTTGCCTACTGATAACTCATACTTGTCTGAAAAATGAATGAATCTGCTTCCTACCATTTGTACTTGTCATGGAGCTGGCTGTAAAGCAGTGTATTGGTGTGTCCTGTACTCTTTCAGCATCATTGTACATTTCATTGAAATGTTCACACAGAGCAGAGGACAGCCTTTTCAGCCGTACCTGCAGATGCACATCACCACGAGCGAAGCATCAAAGGATAGCAATACGATTACACTACAGCATGTGGGATGTTTTCCTGGTGCATGTCCCACCTATAGGCCACATACTTATTCTTTGTAAGTTGTTGATGGTGTTGAAATAAAGATTACTCCAGGCAGGGTTGTTTAAAAGGAGGCTCTTTGGGAGTCTCTGGTTTCAGTTTCACAGTTTAGCTTTCAGAAAGGTTTGGCTCTGTGGTATGCTATAAGAATCTATAAATTTTCATTTCCGGGTGCACCTTCTAACATGACTATAAAGAGTGAAGACACACAAGGAGCAATCAGATTTTTCCATTCAGATATCCATCTTAAAGGTGCATTGTCCCACCTTGCCACTTTTGGTGTACTGCTAATACAAAGTTGATCTTCCAATACAGCAAAACAAAAACAACCTCTGTTTTCTAAAACACTTTATACTCCAGGTTTAGCGTTTTGAATGTTGTTGCTGTCCCATGAGTTTGGTTTAGGTAACAGAAGTCTTAGAGTCCCTGGAGACTCTTAAGAGAGCATTATCCCACCTCTTTCATCTTTAAGTTCAGGCATTCAAAGCACAAAGAGGTGTCTGGCCAAGAGTGGTGGAAATAGGTAAGTGACCACTTACCCGATGGCTGAGCTCTCCTTCCCATTATCCCTTGACTTAAGATTTAATGTGAGATGAACAATGGTGTATTAGCAAAAAGTCTCCAGTTTGTTTTTCCAACTTTGTATTTCCCTGTCATCTCTTTTTAATAAGTCGTTTTTTTAGATTTTTTATTTTTATTGTAAAGTCAGCTATATAGAGAAGAGGAGAGTCAGAGAGGAAGATTTTCCGTCCACTGATTCACTCCCCGAGCAGCCACAACGGCCAGAGCTGAGCTGATCCAAAGCCAGGAGCCTTTTCTGGATCTCCCACGTGGGTACAGCATCCTGAGGCTTTGGCCCATCTTGGACTGCTTTCCCAGGCCACGAAGCAGGGAGCTGGATGGGAAGTAGAACCACCAGGATACCAACTGGCACCCATATGGAATCCGGCATTTGCAAGGCAAGGACTTTAGGCACTAGGCTACCACACTGGGTCCCTGTCATCTTTCTGGGGCAACCTGTATTTTGCCAACAAAATATCAGGGAGATTTGTTGATTTTTTTAGTCAGCTAAGTTTTACACTTTTTTCCAACAAGTGGCAACTAACTTACTGAGTGACTGTGAAGAACCAGCAAGGGTAATGTGAGAAGGCTCCAAATGCAAAGTTGTTTTTATCTGGGGAAACAATGTTTACATAGTTCACATCAGCATTTTGTTGTATAATTTTCAGCTATGGGAGTGTATGCACAGATAAGCCCCAAATTAGGCTTAAGTTTTATATTTGGAGGAAGTACTTAGAATTTTATCATGTGATGTATTTACATGTAAGTCGGATTTAAAGCTTTGAAGTCTAATTTCTATATTAATTCCAATGCTCCAGATGCAAATAAATGAACAGTTGAGTTGGGAAGCCCAGTAGGTATTGTTTCTCCAACATCACTCTATCTGGGCACCTTTGCATTCTGGTTTTTTCTGGGATCCCAGCCAGAGTATCAAGTACATGCGGTAATGAGTCCCTCCCATGTAAACCAATGGTTTCGGTATTTTTTCAAAACATCATTTCTTGACAGAAACGGTTTATGTTTGGAGAGCTTCATGCTCACATTCCTGTCCAGTGTTTGTGATTGCTTTGGAGACATAAACACTTCCAATAGATTGGTCTTTCTGGCTAGAGACTAGTTCTAGGTTCATTCTAGAAGCATTGCCAGGCACCATGCCACATGCCTGAGGAAATAAAGGAAAGATGATGTCCTGTGGTGTTAGCCAAACAAGGGCTAATAAAACTGCCTTGCTTTGATCACTTAAATCAGCATTTTAATGGTTTTATTTTATCAGCAAAACTTTTCCTTCTCACTATTTGCAAATGTGAACCACTGACTTACAGTGGACTCCATTTCTTGGCTGGAGAGGTGTTCTGTTTCTGTGAGACATTTTCTAATTTTTCTGAGACTTTGCTCCTTTGCATACATGTTTTGTAGATTATATTGCAAAGAGACAAAGTTACTAGAATTACTGAATATGTTTTATAGGAGAAAATGACTTTGAAGTAGTCATATTCCTGTAGAGAAGGGAGGTTATTCTTTTAAACCTTAGTCTTTGTATGTTTTTTGGATCAATGGGATAGGTAAAAAAAAAAAAAAGACTATCTTTGCCATAGTTCTTTTTTTTTAAATTAGTTTGTTATTTATTTATTATTTAATTTTAAAGAGAAACTCCAAAATAAAGTGGCTCTGAGGTATACCAGATGTGATTTTGTTTTACTATATTAGAAGATCTATCAATGGAAGGTGACCTGTGTCACTGCATCCAAAATACTGTCCTAAACAAACCCAGAACATTTTATTTCAGCTCGTGAATAGCTGTTTTAAATACGTTGTATGTTAGACATACTATGAACTACCTCTTCGCTTATTATGGGGAAGTTTCCGTAATAAAAGTTTGACAATTAAATCTCTAGTGTCTGGTTTTTGTTTTGTTTTGTTTATCCTCTCCTGCTTTTCTTTCTAATTGGCTCAATTTGCATGCAGGAATGACTTGCACTTGGCTTTAAAATGCATACTGATCAAAACACGCTGAGCTTACCTTCAAAAGGAAATGGGAATTGTAAGAAATTGGCTGTTAGAATCCCTATAGCCATTGAAACCTTTTAAGGGGATAGGGTGATTACTTTTAAGACCTGGTTCAGGTATACATTCATTTTGCAAATACTAATGCCTAGGTGCTCCGCTTTAGGAATGCAGATATTCACTGGTGCGGGTACTTCCGCCTACATGGTAGAAATAATTTCCACCCAGGTGTGCTAAGTGTCACGATGAAGTCAGGCAAGGGTCTGATTCCCAGCGCGGAGTCCGCTTTAATCCTGGCACCTAGAATGACCTAAGGCATTATATGGTTCTTGAAAAGGGTAAGAGGGAGGATGGGGCAAATGGTGGGGGACAGAGGCGAGCTGAGCGGTGTAGCTGGCTCCAGAGGCTGAGGCCAAATCCTAATGGCAGATGCAGTCAGGCAACCTCAAATACGGACGCCTCCGAGGGACTACTTTCCCTGTAGTAAGTTGCGTCCTTTAAGGAAAAGGACCGCCCACCATCATCCCCAGGGGCCTCTGAGGTTCCGGCGCTGGACACTGCACGTCACAGCCAGTCGCCAATTCGGAGGTTCCGGGGCGCACTGGGACCGCGCGCCCCGCGCATTGGAGGGTGTTTTTCCGGGTCGTCCAGTCAGGCCCGCGGAGGAACGAGCTGGTTGACACCGGATGTGTTTTCTCCCAGGCTAAGTCCGTTTTCCGGCCTCGGCCGCCGCTGCCGTGAAAGCCTCCAGGCTGGTTTCCCGAGTCGGTGAGTGGCGAGCGCGCAGGAGGATTCGGCAGGTGAGGACCCCGGGGGAGGCGGGATGCCGCTGGGCGCAGCGCCGAGCTGGGGCGGGGGACGCCTTCCAGGCCGGCCACAGGCGCCGCGGGCTGCGGGCGGGAACTCCGCCAGAGCCTGCTCGCGGTGCCCTGGGGGAGGCGAGAGGAGGATTCTTGTTTAATATCTCCTTAGATTTGGGCTTAAAGGAGACAAATCTTCATGTGGAAAAAGCAGGCTGAGGCGCGGAGATAACGCGCTTCCAAGGGGTCTTGTTGGGGCCTAAGACACGTCATACCGGAGGGTTTATGAAAGCCGCAGAGCTGGGGGACAGCCAAGTCCTCCTCTTGCTTTGTTTCACAAGAACGTTAGACTGTCAGGGGAGCGGAAGAGAGCCATGGGGTTTGCTAAAAATGAAGGTTTTGGAGAGGGTGGCGTTTGCATTTCAGGAGAGTGTTCTGTAGCGGAGACGGAATGCCAGGATATGAACCGCTGCCCATATGGGATCCTGACGTGTGCAAAGTGGAGGACCCTAGGCACGAGGCTCAGTCACTGCACTTCTTAACTGAATATTCAAAATCAGCAGTGTTCTTGAGCACAAAGGCCACCAACTTTGTCCACGGAGAAAAGTTAGAAAGTGTTCTTTAGCTCCTGGCTCCACATCGATGCAGCACCGGCTGTTGCGGTCACTTGGGTAGTGAACCATCGAACAAAAGATCTTCCGCTCTGTATGTCTGGCTTTTCAATAAAAATAAATAAATCTTTTTTTAAGAAAGTGTTCTTTACTATTTGTTGCAGTAAATGCTGTAACAGAAATAGGAAGAAATGCATTATAATCTCTTGGGGTTTGAGAAGGTGGCATCGCATCTTGCATCTTGGGGACTTAGCTGAGACACGGGAGCTTCACAGGACTCAGTTGAGTTTAGAGAGTTGTTATGCAGGCAGCTGTTGTTTTTACTGTGCCTGCTTTTAAATTAGTGTGTGTTTTGATTTTGCTTAGATTGCAGCCATGGCCGCCGAGTCCGACGTTCTGTACTTCCAGTTTGAACAGCAAGGAGACGTGGTCTTGCAGAAAATGAATCTGTTGCGACAACAGAATTTGTTCTGTGATGTGTCCATTTATATTAACGACACTGAGTTCCAGGGGCACAAGGTGATTCTGGCCGCCTGCTCCACCTTTATGAGGGATCAGTTTTTACTTACGCAGTCGAAACATGTCAGAATCACCATCTTGCAGAGTGCAGAAGTTGGCAGAAAGTTGTTATTGTCCTGCTATACTGGGGCCCTTGAAGTTAAGAGGAAGGAGCTTTTGAAATACTTGACTGCTGCCAGTTACCTGCAGATGGTTCACATTGTGGAGAAGTGCACAGAAGCCTTGTCCAAGTATCTGGAAGTTGACCTTTCTATGCAAAACAACCAGCACACCAACCTAT